TACAGTTGCATGTTCTCCTCCAGCCCCAGTTTCCCTTTCCACTGTTGGAGTTAACTGCACTCCAGAACTAGAAGTATTGGGCATGGTAGCACTCTAGTCCTATCACTCTGGAGGGTGATGGGAAACCTCAAACGGGAGAATGTGGAGTTCCCAGCCGTCCTTGGCTAGAAGCTGCCTGCCCTAGACTCAAGCCTGTAGCCCTGGCTGTCCAAGAGCTTGCTACACAGACCAGACTGACTCTGAACTCACAGAGATCTGCCTGCCTCTGACTCTGACTCTTTAGTGCTGCAGTTAAAGGCCGTGTGCTGCCTCCCCACTTTTGTTTTTTGAGATAGGGTTTCTCTGTGTAGCACTGGCTGTCCTGAAACTCACTCTGTAGAGCAGGGTGGCCTCAAATTTACAGAGATCCACCTGCCTCTGCTTCCCAAGTGCTGGGATTAAAGGGAACACTTTTTTAAAAGTCCTGTTTTTAGCTTTGAAAGCAGGGATCGTTAAAATCAAGCATCAGCGCACCAATACTTACACCAGTGATTGACCCACTCAGGAGAAATGAGTGTTTTTGTCAGATATGGTGGAAGGTATCTATATATAACCCAAAGTATTCCCTCTTTCTTCTGTTTAAAACTGTATCACACGGGGCTGGGAAGATACATCTTTTAAATTAAACATTCTAGTGTTAACATGTAAATTGTATTGAGATAAAATGGCTTCATGAATGGGCTGGAGAGATGGCTCAGAGGTTAAGAGCACTGGCTGCTCTTCCAGAGGTTCTGAGTTCAATTCCCTGCAACCACATGGTGGCTCACAAACCATCTGTAATGAGATCTGGTGCCCTCTTCTGGTGTGCAGACATATATGGAGGCAAGATGTTGTCATAATAAATAAATAAATCTTTTAAAAAAATTCCAGAAGTAACAATTCATAGAAGTCATGTAGTTTTTTGTTGTTTTGTTTTGTTTTAAATTTTTATTTATTTATTATGTGTACAGTGTTCTGCCTGCATTTATAACTGCAGGCCAGAAAGAGGGCACCAGATCTCAATACAGATGGTTGTGAGCCACCATGTGGTTGCTGGGAATTGAACTCAGGACCTCTGGAAGAACAGGCATGTACTGCTTTGCAGAGGGCTCAAGTTTGATTCCCAGCTTCCATGTCAGACATATTTCAACCACCTGTAACTCCAGCTCCAAGGGGTCTGGTTTGCACAGGTACCTGCACAGTTATATGCATGCACACACAGACACACATGCTGAGACGCACAGGCATGTAACTGAAGTGCATTCCCTGGGGTTCCTAGCAAAGAGGGCATGCAGAACAGCCACCTGTTCTCTCTTTTGTGCCAGCTTCTGTCTGTCACACGGCAGTGCAGCCACACGGAAGCTTTATTCGTTCCAGGAAAGGTCATCACTTTGGGAAGTAACTCACACGTGTAACCTTCCAGATTTGTTTGTTTGGGGAAAGGATGGGTGGTGGTTCATAAGTACCGAATGAGCTTACAGTGGGAGAAGCCAGGAAAGGAGATATGTTAGGAGATTATGCTGAGAGCAGGTCAGGTGCCCATCAAGGACACAGACCCAAGAGCCCCGAGTGTCAGGCTACCGTCATGGTTGCTTCTGGGGACAATGTGGCCTGAAACATGTCCACTGGAGGCATGTGTGCAGGGTGTGTGGGGAGCTTCTCCCTCTGTTTAGCACCCCACCAGAAAGTGAGCTGAGGGTCTTGTGCAGGCTGCTGCATATTCTCTGGCAAACCAGCAGCCACGTGTCCACTAGCCATGCCTGTTTCTCCAGCTGCAGCTGGAAGTTCTCCCTAGTTTACCCTGACACCGGAGAATGTGGTAGGGGTTAATGACACTTGATTTCAGTTTGCTTCTAGACCAGGCTGCATGTTCTCAGGAGTAATTTCCTGGTCCCAGACACATAAGATTTAATGTTTAAAAATTTCCTATGTGCTATACTACAGTTCTCATCAAACTTCACAAACTACAGTATTATGTGGCTTTGTGTATAACCTAACCAGCCTTCGGTCTAGAAAAATGATAAAAATGGAGGTGAGCCAGACCTGGTGCTGTATGTCTTTAGTCTTTAGTCCCAGCACTCAGGAAGTGAGGAAGGTGAATCTCTGTGGATCTGAGGCTAACCTGGTCAACACAGTTGGCTCTTGTCTAAAGAAAGAAAACAAAACTGGCCTGAAGGTGCTTTCTCTCTTCATGGCTTCCCCTCCCAGCCTCATGTGCTCAGTGTCTGTACGTCTGTCTGTGTCAGTGTCAGAGTGTGTGTGTAAACTGGGAGTTAATATCATGTGTCTTCCTCAATCAATACCCACTTTGGTTTGTTTGTTTATTTTGGTTTTTCGAGACAGGGTTTCTCTTTGGCTTTGGAGGCTGTCCTGGAACTAACTAGCTCTTGTAAACCTGGCTGTTCTTGAACTTACAGAGATCTGCCTGCCTCTGTCTACCGAGTGCTGGTTTGTTTTTTTTTTGTTTTTGTTTTCGTTTTTTTGTTTGTTTTTTTGGTTTTTGTTTTTTTTGGTTTTTGTTTGTTTGTTTGTTTTTTGGTTTTTACAAGACAGGGTTTCTCTGTATTGTTTTGGAGGCTATCGGTCCAGCCCGGCCTCGAACTCACAGAGATCCACCTGCCTCTGCCTCCTGAGTGCTGGGATTAAAGGTGTGCGTGGTTTATTTTTAAAAGACATTTTTAGTCATGTCTATGTTCACATGACTACAGGTGCCCACAGAGATGGGGGATATTGGATAACCTAGAGCTAGAGTTAGGCAGTTGTGACCCACCTGAGCCGAGTGCTGGGCACTGAGTCAGGCCTCTGGAAGAGCAATATTAGCCCCTCCTCACTGTAGTTTTTGAGATAGACTTTTACTGACCCAGTGCAGCAAGACTCACTCTTGGGAGTTATCCATGTTGTCTGCTTCTTACCCCGTACACAAGAGTCACTGTTAAAATTTTTGTCCTGAGCTTTTTATTACATGTTTCAATTTGATCACTTGATTTTATTTTAAATTACCACTAAAATATGTGCTTTTAAATTCAGTTCAGTTTCATTCTGTGTTAAATCTTTAAAAGCCCTCACTATGTCAAAGAACTTGGAAAATGCCTGCTTGTTTCAGGTATCAGGCAGAGTATGAACATCTGACTTTTCTTTTGTGTGTCTGGAAGATGCCAGGCCCCAGAGATTGGATGATAATAGATAGCTTAATAATTCTGGATAAACAGAGGTTTCGACTCGGGCCGGACAGTAATTGAAGACCTTTACTCTCTCACTTAGTTTAGCAAGCATGTCTGGAGGGTCATCTTGGGCTACAGACTGTATGATATGAGGCTCTGGGCTCACACAGCAGCCTGTGTGGGAGGCCCGCTATGGGAAGACAGGCAGATTTCAGCCTGGGAAGGTGTGGGTTAAACGTGAGACTCTGCCTAGTGGCTGTCTGCAGCATCTGATAAGAGGTCAGTGGGGTGCAGCACTGCCTGGTGCTGGGAAACTGGGGAACATGTGTGAGCTTTGACAGGAAAAGTCTGCTCTGATGGTCTAGCTTCTTCAGTCACCTCTGCTATTACAGAAGGACGGTTTTTGGAAATCTCTATTTTGGGCCCTTTTATTTATTTTTAGTTAAGTACTTTACTAAAAAGTCTAGAAAAGAATCTGGTCTACCCATGGGCTGCTTTGGAAAGGATGTGACCAGAATAGCTGACCGCAGTAGCTTACAACTGTAATAAAGCACCTGGGAGGCTGAACGAGTTCAAGATCAGCCTAGGCTACAGAAGGAGTCCTGGTCTGGAAACAACAAAAACGTGGAACAGGAGCTGGGCATAGTGTGCACACCTTTAATCCCAGCACTAGGAGTGCAGAGGTAGGCTGATTTCTGTGAGTTCAAGGCCAGCCTGGTCTATTTAGTGAGTTCCAGGACAGCCAGTGATACACAAAGAAGCCCTGTCTGGAAAAACTAAAACAAGCATGCAAAAAAGAATGGAACAGAGCATGAGGCTTGATGGCTGGGGTTTGAGCCTTGGCTTCCACCTCATGGTGAGCGTCTTTTCTAATCACACCTGGGAAATGGTGTGACAATGGTTCTCATCTCATGAGATTAAATAATGGTGTGCCTTTCTCATAGGATCAGTTAAGGCAATGAATGCCCACACGTGCTGAGTACCGTGCCAGGCATGTTCTACAGATGTTGGCTTTGGTGTTTTGTGGGTTTTGTTGTTGTTTTTTGGTTTTGGTTTTTCAAGACAGGGTCCTGAGTGTCCTAGAACTCTCTCTCTGTAGACCAGGCTTGCCTGGAACTCACAGAGATCCTCCTGCCTCTGCCTCCCAAGTGCTGGGATTAAAGGTGTGACCACCACTGCCAGCCTTGATGCTTTTCTTATTGCCAGAATGTTCTCCGCTTTATTTGTCTCCTTCCCTGTTTTCTATTACTGTAACAAATGCCTGAGATGAATCATCTTAGGAAGATAAAAGGTTTGTTTATTTTGCCCACAAGTTCAGAGGTTTGTTGCTTGACAAGTTGTCCTGTGTTTGTACTTGAGACAACAAGTTAGTGGTAGAGGGAGTGTGAAGAAGGGAGCAGCTCACCTTGTGGTGGTTGGGAAGCTAAAGCAATGTTGTGTCCCTACAGGTCCTCTCCCTCGAGATTCTAGCATCCCCTAGTAACATCTTGCTGGCAGCCAAACCTTCAACACCTATACCATAGAGGGACAGTCCTAATAACTGGAATGGGGCTTAGAAGGGGAGGGCAGTGGTCTTGTGACAGTATGTTACAATAAAATACTGCCTTTCTATGGTAGGTAGGTAGGTAGATGACTGATAGATAGATAGATAGATAGATAGATAGATAGATAGATAGATAGATAGATAGATTCCTCTAGAGATAGATAGGTAAATAGACAGACACATATATTTATAATATAAAGATATAGGAACTTGCAGCTATTGATTTACCTCCTTGTCTGTGTGGTACAGTTAATTAACTAAGGTCATTGTTGTCTCAGCTACATGAAAGCAGCTACGATGCTGGCAAAGCCCTGCAGCGCCTGGTAAAGAAGCCTGTGCCCAAGCTGATCGAGAAGTGCTGGACAGAGGATGAAGTGGTGAGCATGCACCTGTGTGTTTTGTGTTCTGGGTCTTTGGGGTGGTTCTTGTTGTGTGTGGCCTCCCTGCTCCCCAGGGAAGAGTCCCATTCAGAAGACAGATTGCCTATGGTGTGCATCCATAAGAAAGAACTGTTCTGGGAAGAGCCCTTGCTATCCCAGCACGAGAATCTGAGTTCAACTCCCTAGCACCTTCTTGTTTGTTTAAAGCTGAGCATGACTGTTTGTGCACCTATGACTCTGTAGAGTTGTGGGAGCAATGACAGGAGGATGGCTGGGCTTGCTGCCTGCCAGCCTCCTCTAAGTTCATGAGTGACCCTGTGTGAAGGGAATAAAATAGAGCAGGACACTGTGCATTGTCCTCTGCTGTCTGCAACAGGTTCCTGTCGTGTGTCACACATGCATGGGAGGTGCCATGAGAATGACTTGATTTGTTTTAGCACCACTGGGATCCATGGGTGGCATGAAAGCTCTCCCAGAGTTTAGCAGAAAACACGGCTGGTGCAGGGCAGTGTGTGAGTCTTCCCTGTTTTAAACCAGAACCTGAAATAATTTATTTTGAGGACTCGCAGGTCCTCAAGCTACTGAAAGCAGTTGCTCCAAAGCAGGAAGCATAGACTTGATTGAACCCTGAAGGAGACAGGAAGGGAAAGGTGTCTACTAACACAGATGCAGACCCTGCTACTCCCATCCCACAAACCTGAAGCTACACCTCTCCTAGTGAGTTCTGCAAAGCAAAGCGCTGCTGTAAACCACGCCTTTAATCCGTGCACTTGAGAGCTGAGGCAAGTGGGTCTTTGTGGTTTTAAGGCCAGCCTGGTCTACAGAGTGAATCCAGGACAGCCAGGACTGTTACACAGAGAAACCCTGTCTGAGATAAAACAACAACAACAACAACAACAAAAAGCCACAAGTGTTGTTGTAAACAGCTCACAGTGTTTCCTGTGCTTTTGTAATATGACAGTGACTGCTTGACGTTTCCCTTGAGGTCAAATGCAACTGAAATACAGAGTTGATGGAAAGTTTCTCAGTTCTGTTGTAAAGCATGCTAAGGAGAAGTGTTTAAAAGTGCTGTTTTGATTGGAGGCCAGCCTGGTCTACAGAACATGCTCCACAACAACCAAGGCTACAACCCTGCCTTTTTTTTGATCCTACTTTCTTTCATACATGCAATGGTATTTACACCAGGCCTACTGTGTGCCAGGTCTTGTGCTAGGAATGCTCTTAAGAACATGATATTTCAAGCCGGGCGTTGGTGGCACACGCCTTTAATCCCAGCACTCGGGAGGCAGAGGCAGGCGGATCTCTGTGAGTTCGAGGCCAGCCTGGTCTACAAAGTGAGTTCCAGGGCAGCCTCCAAAGCTACAGAGAAACCCTGTCTCAAAACAAAACAACACAAAAAAAAAAAGAACATGATATATCTGAGAGTTCTAAGAGAGAAACCATCTTCACCCAGTATAAGTCAAGGAGACAGTATAGGATGGGGACAGGGGCAGGAGGACCTTTGTTGAGTGAGAAGGGAGCATTTTTGAAGGATTCAGGGAGAAGAGAATTCTTGGCCCTTCAGTAATAATACGAGTGGTATGTGCAAGACATAGGGTTGTGGCTGAGATGCAGTCATTTACTCCACAAGTACATTTTCTGAGTCAGCGAGCTTCAGGGTGAGGTCCATGCATGAGGAAGGCTAGAACCGAGGAATTCCATGTTCAGGTGATGGCTAAGGCAAAAAAACAAGGAATGGAGTTGTTTTGAGAAGTCCCGTGACACCCTTCCACCATAAGCCTGTTTTTATAGGAAGGAGATAGCATTCTGACTGTAAGAGTCTCAAGTTTCCAAAAGCCTTTGTAGAGGAAGATGGAAGGAGCAAAGGCCAGAGCCACTGTTTAAAGTACACTCTCAGAAATGTCCCTCCGTTTTGGCCTGTCGTAGGGACCCTGCCAGTGCAAGCATACTAATGACTGCGTCCAGCCATCCGTCCCTGCTGCCTGGGGCATCTCTCTTCTCCCTTTTGTCACCCTGTCTTTTGGGGATTCCCTCACTTTCTACCTCCAGTCCTTGCTATCATACTGCTGTCCGCCCCTTGCTGCTCCGCCTCCACTGATCAGTCCAGCGCCCACTCCCCTCTCCTTTCTCTCATGACCTTTCGTTCCTCTGGGATTTTTAGAGTACGTAACAGTCCTCTCTCCTGTCTAAAATAAAGCCAGTTTCCTTTTCCTGAGCACTTCTCGTGCTGGCTCTGCTGCTGCTCCAGGATCTTGAGCCAGAAGGGTGGGGGATGAGGAGTGTTGGGCATCAGAAAGAATCCAGCTTCATTTTGAAAAACAAAACAGGGTTCCAAAATGGTGAGCATTCCAAGTGTGGGATAATGTTGGTTTGGGCTCATTTTTATCTTATTTGCTTCTTGTTTGAGAAATGTTTTGGCAGTCACCCAACCCTTGCAGAGCTTAGGGATCAAATAGCTCCCTTGTTTGTGAAAACTAAGCTTTACTTGCTGAAACCCCAAACCTGGACAGTGAATTAGAGAGAGTGATTGGAAGATCGGTGAGTTAAGGGAAGCTTCTGGTGCGTCTAGATCTGAATAGCTGAGCTGTGGTGACCAGTCAAGGTCTTCTTCACCTTCACCTGGCTTGGACTGTGTTACGGGGGCCCTTGAGTTGAATTCTGCATCTTCTCATCCTGACAATCAAAGGGATGAGCCACACAAATGTGTCCAAGATAAGATAGCTGTGTAAGCCTACCTCCCTTTACTTTTTCCTCATGTTGTTCCAGATACTTGGAACATTCTGGTTATTTTTACTTTGTTGTCTCCAGCTTGTTAATTTGATCTAACATTCAGTATCCGATGTACCTAAATGACCTCCACGAAATGGTTGTGAGTTCTTAGGTGAGAGTTTCCCAGCTGGGCCAGGAAGGTGGCCTGCACTTCCTCACTTTGGCAAGTCCCTGCTTGCTGGGGCTACAGCTTCAGTCCTTGTCAGCGTAGAGCAGCGTTGCTCAGCCTGGGGGTCACAACCCCTTTGGAGGTTGCATATCATATACCCTGCATATCAAATATTTACATTACGGTTCGTAACAGTAGCAAAATTACATGTATGAAGTAGCCACAAAATAATTTTGTAGTTGGGGTCACCACAATGTGAGGAACTGTATTAAAGGATCTCAGTGTTAGGAAGGTTGAGAATGTAGGGAAAAGGGACCAGTCAAAGAAACACACCCTGAGCAGAGCCAAAGAAACACACTTTGGCCCTGCAACCAGAACCAAAGAAATGTACCCTGACCCTAAAACCAGTGCCAAAGGAACACACTTTGTCCCTGGAATCAGAGTCAGTGAAAGAAATGTACCCTGGCCCTAAAATTGGAGCCAAAAGGCTTAAAAGGACCAGAGAAAGAAACACACTTTGGCCCTGAAACCAGAGCCAAATCTGACCTTAATCCTGTGTAAAAAAGTAACCAATCCCAGAGCAGAGCTCTAGCCAATCTGAGCTCAGCACTGAAATCGGACCAATCCCTACTCTGGAAAAACTTCCCCAACCCCAGGAATCCCTATATAAACCCTGTGTATGTTCAGCTTGGCTGGTCCAGCTGTCTTCCAATAAACCCCTTTGGATGAGCTTCGGGTGAAGATCTTCTTTTGCGGCGGCGACAGAGCAGAGGCGACCCTGGGCAGAGCAGAGCAGAGCGAGCAGCGCTGTAACACTTGCCCGGGAAACCTTCCTTGGCAGAGCGGAGTTGTTACACTCTGCTCCCGGCTCCCTGCTCTCTGCTCTCCGCTCTCCAGGAGCAGAGCTGAACTGTAGCAACTTCGCCTGAGAAACCTCCTGCGGAGCAAAACTGCTACACTAGGCGAACATCCCCAGCTGGAAGACCCTGTCCTGCCGGAGCGGAGCTGATACACCGGAGAAGCCTTTCTCTGAGGCAAGGCTGTAAGCTGCAAGCTTACTGCAACCTGTGGTGGTCCTTGGCTCCCGAGCTCCAGGATACCTTTCCACCTGAGCTGTGTAACACTGAGTATTCTGTGACTCCCGAGTGCCAGAATACCATACCTGACCCACTCCTGTTCCATCCTGTCCTGACCCATCCCGACAAAACGCTTACAGAGAAACCACTGGTATGTGATATATTTATGATTTATTAAAGCTTGCCTGAAAATCAGAAAAGCAAAGCAGCTGGCCACTAGCTCTTAACCACTACCTCAGGCTAAAAGGGCTGATCCATGAGATCTCCACCAAGCCTCAAACTGCCGCCTCTCCTCAGCGTGGCTGGTGAGAATCCTGGGACTGAGCCTCCTGAAGACCCTGCGCCTGTCTTTTATCCCTCTCTAGTGCTGGGATTAAAGGTGTGTGACACCAAGTGCTGAGGTCATCTTTAGTGTGAGCTGTTTCTCTTAGCACTGGATAAATTGCATGTAGTCATTGTGGCCTTGAACTTACAGATGTCTGTCTACCTCTTAATCCTGAGTCTTAGGATTAAAGGTGTGTACCTGGCTTCCATGGCTTGTGGCTGACTCTGCTTTCTGAATCCTCAGGTCTGCTTTAATAAATCATAAACAATGTGTCCAGCTGTGCCCGAAGCTGAGCTCAGTCCTCTGCCTGCTTTACAGCCATGGTTCCCTCTTTTGAGCTACATCTTCTATTTTCTCCTCTTTTTGGTTTGTTTTTGTTTCATTGAGGAGGGGCTTGTGTATCCTAGGCGCTCAAATCCCATGTGTAGCTGAGGGTGATCTTGAACCCCTGATCCTTCTGCCTCCATCTTCCAGGTGCTAGGATGACAGAGCTGTACCACCACACAGCCTCTTTTCCTTATTTATTTATTTATTTATTTTAGTTGTTGTTTGTTTGTTTTTTCGAGACAGGATTTCTCTGTATTGTTTTGGAAGCTGTCCTGGAACTAGCTCTTGTAGACCAGGCTGGCCTCGAACTCACAGAGATCCGCCTGCCTCTGCCTCCCGAGTGCTGGGATTAAAGGCGTGTGCCACCAATGCCTGGCCTCTTTTCCTCTTT